TTCATACATTCATATTGACTTGTAGATATTAAAAATTAGGCAAAGCTTAAAGAAAGATAACATGTAAAATTATTGAGCAATATTTCAATTTTAATTTAGGATCCATAGATTTCAAGTTACCTTACGGCAAATCTTTAACATTGTAATAGTATAATTTATTTATATTTCCGTATAAGGAACTTGGTTTTTGTTTCAACAAAAGATACGAAACATTATTGATTTTTTTTAGTAACGGTTGTAGTATTTATTATGTAGCTAGTCTTGTTATGAATGCTTTTTGTACTTTGACTCTAAAGTCACCAATTTTATCATTAAGCATAAAAAAGAAAAAACATAGTGCAAACTAAAGCTACTTATGTGATATCAGAAAGGCTCAAAATGCTTTCAGAAGGTGACACTTGCGAAGAACAAGGCACCCGTAAGATTGACACCAAGCCGCAAAATGGTGCTCATGTTACGCACGCGGATCAACCCAGCATACCATGTGCAACCCTTCGTGGTAGCCCGCGCAACGTGTACGTGTGGCCCAAAACCTAAAAAATGCAGCAGCATAAGAAGAACATCTATCACCGAGAGGCAAGTCCAAGCCCACATAGGGGAGAAGACCCGATCCGAAGAAGTTTGGATCCAGTGAAGTGGTTTCTTACTTCAATCCAACAAGGTCGATCTAATAGGCCTCCAATAAGGCCAGTCCAATTGGGCATTAAGGGGAGTTGGTCATGGGAGCTAAAGAAGGCCTAAGAAAAAGAAGAAGGTATCAAGCCTTTTGGCCAAGAAGGCCTTAGGCTCGAAGGATATGCGTAGACAGCAAGCCTTGCGTGCATGTATAAGCCTGCACATGCATGGGTGGGCCACCAACCCATGCATAGGACATGCCCGCCAACTTGTGCAAAAATCCCAACTTGTATATGTAGGACAATGCGTAAGAGATCTGTATGCAGGAAGTGTGTGCAAAAGCCACGTTGCTCATAAGACCAGACACACCCACGAGATTTCTCTCCCACACAGAGAGGTGTGCGAGAATTCCCTCCATGCGAGCAGGAAGAGTTGGCAACTTGCAAGGAGTCTTTTCCCTTGGGTTTTTGCATATGATTTTGATGTTGATTTATTCAAGACTCTTGCAGCAAATAGACATCAACTTGATAAAATACAACACATGGAAAATTAAGGAAATTTCTATAGAATTATTTTATTACTATTTAGTAAATAATTTAATGTTAGATTTTATCCGTATGACTAATTACCTATTATTTTAATCTTAGAATTAAAATATGCTGTTATTCTAATAATTATTTTTAATGTATTTTAATCTTATGATTAGGATAAATTATTATCTAGCTAGAAGTTGATCAAATATTAGTATTTGTATTCAATTAGAATTATGTAAGTGAAAGCTTTGATTTGCTTTTTTTGAAATTAGCTCTACTAATTTTTAAGTATTTTTTAGGTGTTTTCAAGTTGGAAAACCTCATACTGCTTTGTTGAGTTAGGCAATCGGGATCAACTAATCGGGTAAGTTGTTGTGTCTTTCCTTATTCTTTTTATTTTCCAGTTACTAGGATAAACCTTCAATACATTAATTGTGATTCCAATAAGAATAGTGGAATTTAGGTAATTAAGTTCTTGAATTGCTTAATATAGTGAGTTCATGATCAAGGTGTTTTCAATTCATGGAGTCATCCATCTCCACCCAACCTCAGCTACCTTTAACACTGTATACTAGGTTATATAAATAAGATAATAATGAAAAGTGACTAAAAACTAAATTGATGCAATCTCATGACTTGAATTCATGTGAAAGTTGTAAATCGTTGCTTGTTGAAAAAAAAAATGACTAGGACTTCTTTCACCTGTAAATGTAAAAGGGCAATTAAAGTATTAGATTTTGTCCATATAGATTTTAAGGACTAAGTTCTATAAAAGATAAAGATGAATACTCTTATTACATAACATTTATATACGCATTCTCTTTGTTTTGATATATATATTTATACTTATCAAGTATAAATCTGAAGCATTTAAGAAATCCAATCACTTTTTAATATAAGTAAAGAAAAAAACAATGAAATAAAAGTGTTAAGATATTTCATTTAGATTATAATGTAGAATATTTAAGAAATGAGTTTTTAGATGTTATAAAAAAAAAAGAGGTTATATTTTAATAAAATTCTCCATGTATATGTCAATTGATTATTATAACTGAGAGAAGGAATCGAACTTTTTGGACATGTTATGATCCATGATTCCCTTAACACTACCATGTATTTATTTCAAAATCTGAAATTAGATTACTCATGAGATGTGGATGGGTAGCCCCATGTTCTATTGCACTTGAAAGATTTATATAATGCATTTATATCCTAAAAGATTAGGAATTGAGTCTAACAAATTTGCATTTAAAGAGTGATTCAAAGAAATAAGAGGGTATGACTTATTTTATAACCAAAAGATATATGTATGTAAAAAATGTCCATCTTTCAGAAGACAAATTCATTCATTACAGAAGGATTAAATAATAATCCTCCCATAGTGTATGAGAAATTTTTGCAAAAATTGTACCAACTTATTAGGGATGTAGGAATAATATTGGAATTACAATATCGACTCTAAAACAAACTAAAATAAAATTTATAAATTTTTTTTTTTTAATAAAGAGTTGCCCTTGAAGATGATGAGAAGACATTTTTCTACTCCATTTGTACATATTCAATATGAAATAATTTATACGATGAATGAGACTTATTTAAAATATTTCAATTATTTCTTTAATTCAAATTTCAAATACCTAGATTGATATGTGATCTAAATTAAGACAAAATAAAGAATCTAAAAATAAAATCAATCGATGATCTAATATATTCAAAAGTAGAAATTATTCCATTGGAATATATAATATCGTATGATAATGACTTGTACAGTTTAAAACACTATAATTTATTTTTTTTAGCAATAAATTTCATTATTGAATAAATAAAAATAAACAATATCACAATAAATACATTGCTCATCGATATAATATATAAATACATAATCAGTTTTTTGATAATTAATTATTGTATATCCACATACGAATAAAAAAATTAATTGAATGCTACGATAATCATTGTTATCTCTAATCGATTTAACTTAAAATGTAATATTATTTGATCATTCAAATAACAAGTGAGACATAACGTAATTTAAATTAAAAATTTCGTGCTCAGAAAATCTTCAATCTAAATTTTTTTTTTTTTCTTATTACAACCATATTTTAAATATTAAAAGAAAAAGTAGTAATAACACGTCTGTAGTAGGGGTCCGGGATCCGAATAGATCTTACGATTAAGACAAAAACTTTTGTGAATAAGAAAACAAACAAGAAGAAAAATAGACTACTCAAAAAAAAAGAGTCGAGTTTGCATGTCCCATTCTCCCTGTTCTTTTTTTTTTTTTTTTTTTTTTTTTGTAGTTTATTTTTACAAGAAAATCTTTACTTAAAAAAGCTAGATAAGGTATGCCTCCTTTTGGGGGTTTCTTTCCAAGTTTCAGATTTTCTCTTATCCTAATTATTCAAACATTTAATCATCATCCCATCAACTCCTAATTTCTCTTCATGTTCAGTGCTGGAATTTGAATATATCCAATAATACAATCTTATTCAATGCTTTTAATTTTATTAAATTCATTATACTAACACAATTTTTATTTAGTTAATTCATTGTCGTATATTTTCTCCATTTAAGATTTTTTTTTTTTTTAAAAAAAAAAAATTTATAATAATCAAATTTCAATAGAAAAATATAAAGACATGATTTTAAGATAATTATGTTTATATTCGTTATTTATTTTCATCATTTATGGGGCTCACATCTTGCTTACAAGATCTTGTGGTTGGTATTTTAGGGTGACAGATGGGTTATTTTGGTAGGGGCCTGGGCCAATTATGATGAGATAAGGGGTTAGGGAAATTTTGAAGGACAGATAGAGGAGGGGGGTCATTGTATTGTATAATTTTGAAAGGAGGAGACTAAAAGGAAGGACCCCTCTTCCTTACACCTTTATTTTGGTACATATACGTATCCATTAATTATTACTTCCCCCCCCCCACCCTCGTACTGTCTATTCTTTAACTATATACTATGACCAGGGGGGGGGGGGCATTTGGAGGTTCTAGAGCTGTGTTTTTTTATAAAAAAATAAATTCTAAAATATAATATTTATTCTAATTTCATTACAATAATCCCGGATGAATTTTATGGTTAAAATATTAACTTTGTACCAGGTGAATTATATTAGTTTTTATTTTATTATTATTATTTGATAATGTTGTGTTATGCATACTTACACAATAAATGCTTTTATCTATATCATCAGAAATGGCAGTAACTCAATGTAAAGGGAACAGGGTATACATACCATCCCCCACACTCCTACAAGTTTAAGAAAGGATCAAATTGTAATGTAAGGTATAATTGAGTGACCAAAATCATAATTTATCATTTTACTAATCTTTCATTTTCCCAAAATAAAAAAAGAAGGAAACTTTTTGAAACCAAAAAAAATGCTTATACTTTCGGTGATTAGTAGTGCCACTTTAGGATTTGTACAGCCAAAATTCAGTTGAAGCAAAAAGTAAATGGTTAGTTAATGGGAATTAAAAGAACATATAAGTGATACCCAAAATCTGTATTCTCTAAACTTTTATTAGTTTTTTGAACATAATAATAATAATAAATCTAACATCCCAAGGGAATCATCAGCAGTAGGTTTCAAAAATGCATATCAATATTCTTCTTCCTTAATATACTCATTACTCCTGATTGATTCCCCATATCTTGTTTGAGATTTCATTTCAGAGTCTTATCTTCAACATAATACAAAATTAAATATGAAGCAAGTGGGATTGAGCAAAATTAAAAATGCATATAATTGGAGAATAGAGATACCTGCAGAAAGCAAAATACAGAATGTTGTCTTCCTTTATGAAATATGCTTTCTTTTTCTTTGCTTTGAGATTGAAGTCAAACTTCCAACTCTAAAAATGGTTGATTTAATTAATTAATTAATATACAAAAACAGATCACAAATCCTAAAAAGCCTATTGTCAAGCACACTAAATTCTATACACCCACTTCTCCAAAATTCCACTCTATTCTATTCCATTATCTTTTCTTCCATTTTTAACCTCCACTTCACCAATACCCATCGACCAAAAAACAAAGAAAAGACAAAAGTGAGAAGTCATTACAAAACAAGTTGAAGAAAAAGGAAAAGTGTAATTTTCCTCTTCTTTTTTTCTTACACTTTGATGGTTGGGTCTTCACTTTCTGCTGATTCCTTGAGAATTTCTCCATTCTTTTGACCCTCTTCTTGAGCATCAAAGCTAGCATGAACACTGTACAAAACGTAAACAAGAACAGCCAAAGCAGAAAAGAAGCCAAACCTCACGTAAGATGGTCCATCAAGGGAACCCAAAAGAAATATGTTCAAGAAGATGGAAATGCAAGGCACCCAAGGCATCATCGGCACACCCCAAAACTCGGGTTTTCGGGCTTGAGGAACCACGCAATGGAAAATCTGCAGATTTGCGATGGCCACAAGAGCACAGGCACCCAGCATCCAGCCTTTCGGCTCTGTGGGCGGCACAAATTGCCATATGAGGGTGAATATTATGGAAGTGATGGTGAATAAGCAAAGGAAGGATAAGGTAGGCCATGGCTTTGATGTCCCCACCACCACATACCGCCTATAGATTACAGCATTTGCCACCATGTAAAAGACAAATAATGTGCCAATAGATACCAGGTTGATGAGGACTTTTAGATCAGTGAAGAGGGCAATTGCGGCTGTGAAGATTCCTGGAAAAGGATAGGACATATATATGAGAAAATCTCATCCTATAACACATCCAAATGTCTATATGCTGTAATGAGTATGAGTGGATCTCACTTTTGCAACCTTTTCTTTTCTTTTTTTTTTGTGTTTTTTTTTTTTCTTTCTTTTTCCCATCTTCTAAAGCATAAATAGATCACGAAAAGATTAAGACGATGAGATGTCAAAGCAATTGCATAGGTGTCCTTACAATATGCACACATATGAGATTGAAGAAATATCTAAGAAGATTTTGATTGATCCAGAGATTCCAATAACTTGTACAGGTTGAGAATAACACTACAGAGAGTTGGATCGATGAGATTCCTCACCCGAACCGTCCATCAACCCAAAGATTCATCCAATTCAAAGGCTGACTTCATGGTCAGATGATATTTTCAATGAATGGTTTCTAGTCAAGGCAGTTACCTTTGCATAAGTAAAGGCTGGGTTGGACAAATATACACCACCCAAAACCAGAAATATATATTCTAACCATATTTCAACATAAGCATTAATGAAGGAGAAGAAAAAACACCAAGATGCTGAAATTAGCAATCCATATTGATAGTCAGTTTTGCCTTATTCTACTTCCTTCATGGACACCCCATGATGCTTCTTTTTTACTCACATGCCTTACTTATTTGCTAAAAGCCAAACTCAAGTTTCTTAAAAAAATTCAAATACTCCATCTTTAATAATTCTCAAAACTCAATCTTTGAACTTCAAATTAAAGTAATAATTTTTTAAATTGGGAATTGCAAATAGAATCAAGAAGTGAGATTAGATTTTACAACCATGTATATAATATAAACTGGTGGGATATATTCAAAATCCAAAATACTACTATCCTAACAAAATATTCTCAAGCCCTCTTTAAAAATTCTCACTTTTTTAAATCTCTGGCATTCATTGCACGCCAATTGCGTAATCTAAACATGAGAAATTATTTTTAATTTATAAACTACAAAAAAAAAAAACATGAACAATTAAAAAATAATAATAAAAGAAAAAGAAAGGACCGAAACCTAAAAAGGCAAAAACCGAAACGGTTCAAGTGGGTCCATCCGAAACGTCCCAAGTAGAAAGAACAGACACGAAATCAAAAGACCCACAGAGACAGACACAATTAAATTAATTAATTAATTAATACCTCATCGATATCAGTTAAAAATAAATTTAAATTAACACAAAATAAATACGAGTAAATTATAAGTTATTTATTAAATGACAAACAACATAAAAACAAATGAGTGTGCAAAAACCGTACCAAGAAAAGCGGAGGCGTTGACGGGCGTAGATGTGGTCGGGTGGACCCTAGCGAACCATGCGGGGACCATTTTCGACCGTCCGATCACGCACATGTAACGAGCCTGCCCCAGCATCGACACTAACAGCGACGTCAGGATTCCGAAACTTGCCCCCACTCCTATCACGTTCGATACCCACTTCCACCCGTCTGATTCTCCCCTGAACGCCGCCGAGAACGGCGCCTCCGCATCGATCTGCGTGCACCTCACCAACACCACATCAGTCCACCACCCAAACCCTCTCCAATTCTTATCGCAACCCAAAATTTTATTTATTTATTTTTTATAAACAACAAATAATAAATGGGGGAGGAAAGGGTATTTTGGTCTTTTCAACGCCGCGTTACATTAAAGAAAGCGATCGCACGTGAAAACGAAACGAAACAAAAAGAGACGGCTCGAAGAAAATCCCAGAAATTAACAATTTAAAGCAATAAATTAAAAATTAAAATAATTAATTAATAATAATAATAATAATAATAATTTACCATATCATATGGAAGGAGCTTTGACATGGAAGCGGCCATGAGGGAGTAGAGGATGGTGACGACGATAACGGAGCCCGAGACTCCGATAGGGATGTCCTTAACCGGGTTACGAACTTCTTCAGCCATGGTGGAAACGGCGTCGTATCCGATGTAGCTCAAGTACACCATGGCTGCTCCATTAAAAACACCTGAAGCTCCGTAGGGGAAAAAACCAGAAGGGTGTTGTGGGTTTGAAGGCCGCGTGAAATTTCTCCAATCACCCCTCCAAAAACCCACCACTATCACAAAAACTATGAACAGAATGTGCAATGCCGTCAGTATCATGTTCACCACCGAGCTCTCTCTCGTACTGCAAAAATAGCGAAACCCATTAAAATTAGAACCAGAAAAAGTAAATTTCAGAAGGCGAAAATAAAAATGCAGCCACGATTACAAGATTAAAATCACCTGTAACAGATTACGAGAGTGACAACCAAAACGACGAGCAAGGCGATAACATCAATTTCGTTGAACCCATTGGGTAGACCAGAGACGGTGATCCTCCATTTAGCAGTTGAAACGCCTATAGCGGTACCTAAGTAAGCGGTGAAGCCTCTAGCCACCGCTGCGTTCGACATGACATAATCCATTATCAGATTAGCTCCCGTCAGAAACGCCGCGAACTCGCCTAAAACGATAAACCCAGAAAGTCAGCACAAAAAAACAAGTCAGAAGAAACAATGAAATTACGGGGATGGGACGAACCGAAGGTGACGCGTAGATAACTAAAGGCGCCGCCAGCGACGGGCATGTGAACGGCGAACTCAGTGTAGCAGAAGGCAGAGAGAAGGGCGCAGAGACCGGCAATGGCGTATGAAACGACGACGGATGGACCAGCGTATAACCGAGCGGCTTGACCAGTAGTGACGAAAACACCGGCGCCGACCATACCGCCGATGCCGAGTCCGACCAAGTCGAACCAGCGAAGAGTGCGTTGCATGTCGGAGCCGGAGCGGGCACGGACCCGGCTCATTTCTTCGTAAGAGGTTGAAACAGAGGCAGCACGGCGAGCAAAACGGGAAGGTGTATGTGAGAGAGCTCGTAAGTAAGAAGGGAGATTGGAGAAAGAGGAAGCATGGGTGTCCATTATTTCTTCCTCTCTCTCTCGCAAAGTGTATACGTACAGAGAGAAGGATAGATATGTAGAGATGGGTTGGATTTTGTGTTTATATAGAGTTACAGAAAAGGTGAATAAAGAGGAAGAAGGAGAAATAGGGGAAGAAGTGGAAATGGATAAAAGAGGTGTGGGCTGTAAAATCAGTACCCACTGACTTACCATGCTACTGGTAGTACTCTATTTGTTCCTTTATTATATATATGTATATATATGTATATCAGAGCTTCTGTTCCGTCTCTCACGTAATCCACTTCATCAGTTCATCTCCATATCCGCCTCAACTTTAATATTATTTTATTTTATTGAAAATAACATAAATCTAAAATGACAGATAAATTTACAGACAATGATTAGATTGGATGATCAATTTTTGTGATTTGACTTCAGTATCTTAACTACTGGATTATTTTTCTTAACTTTTAAGTTCTAATTGATGGTCAAAACTTTAACTTGTTTTTCAAAAAATTCTCTGATTTTAATGAAAACTTTACACATATTTTTTCAAAATTATTGTTACAAAAATTTATTAGCTAAAATTGTGTTCTTATTTAAATATTAAAATATAATTTCTTTATCTTTATGAAACTTCAAAAATAATGCGTTTAAATCGTCAAATAGCACATAGAATATTGACACGAAAAATTCATCTTCTTAGCTTGACGCTCCTAACCCATTCAATCATGCAAGTCCTTGTTCGGCAATGCAAATTCTCTTTTGACCACTTGCCTCTGTGACACTTTAAATGCCTTCAATCTGATCAATTACGTTAAACATTCAAGTTATTTTTCTCACTTACTAGCTAAGAAAGAATTGTAGTCAATCTTCTGATAACAATAATTCATAATTTTCAATGATTCCATGAAAACTTCTTTTAATAGATTGGTTAAATTGAGTCATTTCTTAATAATACTAGTTAAGGATAATGCAGGCCTCTTGTTGGTGGCCCGTTATGCCAATGGCAAGAACTCCTGTCTGTAAGAATTTGAGGAATCTCTATTGGATGATACAAAAGTACTAATTTAAATATAACATACAAATATCCTTATTGCAAAAAACAATATGAATAAACATCATTCTGTCCTAACTGATTAATATACATTATCTCATTCAACTATATTTTTTATCTTTATAAATATTAATGTAGTGAAACAAATGAAAATTAGACTAATTTCTCATTATAAAAATAAGTCCATAATATTATCTCAATCTTATATTCTTGCAAGGTATTTTTACTACATGTTTAGAAAAAATCTCTGTCATAATAGTATAAATTTATATATTAGAGTTTGTTCCACCATTATTAGTTTATGCACGATATAAGATTTATTTATGCTAAGAGGTTATAGTTTTTATGTACCTTAACCGAAGTAGTTGTTAAATGTAACCTATATTTTATAGAGCGTGCAAGTGATAGTTAAAGATTTATTAATCTTAGTATAAATGAAATGGTATCATATGAATAAGAAAATAATCTGAATGTATATAATCAACGTGTCATGTGATTTGTAGGAGTTCTTCCCAATCACTTAGGATTTATCTATAAATGATAGTGATTGACCAAAAAGATTTGATATATTTTAAATCATAGATTTCAGGATATATCATAAAAAAATATATATTTGTATAGAAATTATGTAACGGCCCCGGAAATATTAAAATGAAATGAGTATTTAAATATATCAAATGCGGAAGCGAGATCAAAATTTCAGTTAACATCCCTTACACGAAAAACCAAAAACGTACTTAAAATATAAAAGATTAAACTAACTAAGAGAGAAACTCGAAAATAAAACTATGAGTATGACTACAGAGTCTCTAGGCATCCCCTTCGTCGTCCTCCTGCGGAACGGGCTCGGGAACCATGTCTTCCTGATCTGAAATGGTTAAATAAGGAGTGAGCTACACTAGCCCAGTAAGAACATCACGATATCTCACCGTCACGGAGGTAAAGGTGGGTAGAAAAACACAAAAAGACCAATGGAGCATAATTTACAATAAACTCGTTTATTAACATGAAAACCTTTACCATCCACTTACTTCGGTGGAATTTATGAAAACAATATAAGAAAAATAATAACATTATCATAATCATGGAATAATATAAGCTGTAAAACATAACACTTATCACGCCTCTTGTAATTCAATCATTGTACAACATATCTTTTTCTCATTTACCAGCCTACTAGTATCCGTGGGGGTCCATAGGGGTTCCGCTACCCGTTAACCTTTAACATTCATAATCAGTTTCCAGGGCCGTCCCCATACCCCGTCCGGTATGGGCGCCAAAACCATGAACCTCAATACCCCGTCCGGTATGAGGGTGAAACGGGCCGTCCCCATACCCCGTCCGGTATGGGCGCCAAAACCATAAACCTCAATACCCCGTCCGGTATGAGGGTGAAACGGGCCGTCCCCATACCCCGTCCGATATGGGTGCCAAAACCATAAGATCTCCATACCCCGTCCGGCATGTGAGACCACAATCCCGGTAGGGTTCCCTACGGACCCGGTCCGTCCACCATCTCCCAGGATATCTAGTCAGGCTGACCCCATCATACAATTATCAGTCTACAAAATGTTTCATTTCCCTTTTCCTCAATAAGCATCATCAATTCACATTTAAGAAAGCAAATCGTAATTCATGCCGAACAGACAACATACATTATCAGTTCTTCAGTCATTCAACCCATAATTAATAAAACAGTAATATATGCACTCGAAACTATAAAATGAACACATCAAACCCCATAATGCATTCAAAGCTGTAAAACAGGCCAAATAACAGTAAATCATCAATCACACTAGACTCGGGCTCCATTAGCAACCTTAAGCAATTTCACACATGCGTTAATTCAAGAAATACCGTTTTATCATTTTGAACTTTAATACCGTGATAGGAAATAGGGTGAGGGGTCCTTACTTGTTTTCGGGATCCGAATACGATTCACAGTGCGCCTGCAAGCCGTCCCTAATTTTCCCTGAATTTTTCCCGGGGAACTGAAACACACTAACAGTACCTGCACGTGTTCCAAAAAAAACCCCAAATTAGGCCCAGGGCCTCTTTCGGCCCAAATCGCAACTCCGGCACGGCGGCTCCGCCGTGCTCCGGCGACGGCACCGCCGCTGGCGGCGGCGAGTCGTCTCGGGTTGGCTGTTTTCGGCCGTTTTCGGCCGAATTTGGCCACACTCGCATTGGTCCTTGTCAGAAAACAACCCTAGGGCCCTCGGGGGGCCAAAAAATCACGAAAAAACGGAGCTTACCGGCGGCGGCGCTCTCGGGTGCGGCGGCACTCCGGCGAGGTTCGTGTTTTGGAGATTCGGCTCCGGTCAACCTGTAGAGAAAAGAATGGTGATCACGGTGATATAAAAATTGCATCGAACGGAGGCCGGGAAGGGCCTCGTCGGAGGCAAAAACCGAGAGGGGGCGCGGCGGCGCCGCTGAGCTTCGGCCGCATGTTCCGGCCGTTTGGCCGGGATTTCGGCCTCGATTTGGCCATAGGAGGAATCAGCGGGGAAAAACGAGTCGGGGGTATGAAATTTACCTCGATCGGCAGTCGGAAATTTCCCCGGTGCGGCGGCGGGTGGCGGCGGTCGGCCTTTGGTTCGTCTTCTCCGGCGAGCGGCGGGCGGCTAGGGTTTGTGGTCTGGTGTGGGGGTTCTATTTATAACCCCTTGCCTTTTGATCTCAGCCGTTCATTTCGTTTTAATCTGGGCCGTTCGTTTTTGATTGAATCTGGGCCGTCCGTGCGATTGAATCTGGGCCGTCCGATCGCGCGATTGATCTGGACCGTCGGATCGCACCCACGCGGATCGCCAACGTGGCTGCTGACGTGGCCCCCCCTTTTTTTTTTTTTTTTTTTTTTTTTTCCTCCTTTCCGGGTGCTACAAATTATTAATAGATAAGTTCTCTTTTTGAGAAACAAATTTATCATTTTCTAGGAGTCAAGATCTGTTTCTAGATGTCACTCAATTAATATATTCAACGTAAGTATTAAATAAACTATATTTAATTATTCTATAAATCAATAAGATTGGCAAACTTACTAAATTAAACCTAATGTATTGGATACTAACCAAATTAAATTTCCTCTATACCTTGAGATATTAAAAAAAAAAGTTAGAAATAAATTTGAGATGAATTTTAGATATTAACTAATAAGACGGTTAATGTGAATAAAGATTTTAATCAAGTGTACACCATGTAAAAATCTAAATTAATTAATCAAAGAGTAGTTAAATAAGTTAAAGTCATGATAAACTAATTAAGAAATTAATTTTATCATAGGAATATTAGTTATCAAGTAATTCAATCAAAAACATCTATTAAAAAATGTTTTAATAAAGTATCAAAATAGTTTAGGTTAAACTTCATCATAGGGTATGATGTAGGGTTTTGGTATTAAAAGGCATAATCAACCATCCTAGAGGGAGGTTTCCTCCTTTTATCTGTGAATAATAGGAATAAACATTTAGAAAAAGATTAGATTCTAATGCCTTAACTTATCCTCAATGCAAGATGTTACATAATTAATTAAATTACTCGCTTTGATTAGATTGACTTCAATAATATAATTTTGTCTCGATTCTAGTGCTTATAAAATGTTAAATAATGAACATAAACATAATTATAAATATATTAAAGTTTGATAACAAGTTAGGAAAAGAGAAACAAGGGAAAAGAAACAGAATAACTAAAAAAAAAAAAGACCTTAAGGTGAGATATGAAAAAAATTATCTCTATGTATGACATCCCAAAACACCTTGCATCTAATTTTTTTTACTATGGGTGAAACAAATTATAGTATGGCAAAGAGCTAAAGAGATGTAGAAAAAAGTTTTTTAAATGGATAAAAAATACCCCATGGAATCTATTTAGTTTAAGAATTTTGAGGTGTCAAAACCTATTTTACCTTAAAGATTTTCTTTAATCAAGGATGTGAGAAGAAAAATGTAAAAAGAAAAAACTTTTGCATTATTGAGAGATTTTCAAAGGCAAGTACTTTTTTTTATAAGAAATTGTTTTAAGTTTGGGTGTTTTAATGTTAAAACTTCCCTTTAAAATTCAATTTTTCTTCACGAAAAGGGAT